AGCAGAAACTAACACTCCATTGTAAAGCAATTATACTCCAATAAAGATGTTAAAAAAATAAAAATAAAAAACGAATTAAAAAAAACAGAAACAATGATCAAAAATTGAACCTAAAGGTAGAGATGACATTTTTTAATACAGGTGAGAAATTCAAGGAAATGACAGGAAAATACCTGATACGTGAAGGAAGACTTTCTGCAGACTTAAAAGATCCATTATTAAAGTCAGAATGATGGACAACTTGCTGAAGACAAACAACTAGAAATTATGGATGATTTTTTAAAATCTGTGTGAAAGCTTCCAACAGCTACCAAGGCCACAAGGACTTGACGGTCTGATGCCCTCAGGAGAGGCCATAGGAGTCTGGTACGTGGGATCCTAAGGATGGAGAACCTGAGCCTCCTGGGTCCTGCGGGGCCTGAGTTCAGGGACTCAGGTGTGAGGGTCTAGGAAACACCCCAGTTTTATCTGAGACCCCTCCTCACCCCAACAGGACTACAGCAGCAGAGGAAAAACTCCCAGTAAGACTGAACCTCCATCAATCAACTCAGCCTCTGATTAGATTCAAGGACGTGTTCCCAGCCTAGCTCTCTGCAGGGAGCAGAAAAACAGCATAAAGAGGAAAACAGCACCATGAAGAAAGAAAAATTTATTTCTACAATTTTCATACACAACGTCTGGTAGTCAATGAAAATATGATTAGTATTTCTGGATTATTAAATATGATTAATATTGTAGTTAAAAATACGCACATCAAAAATCTTTGAACACAATTAGCGAAAGTTAGACGACAATAGGGAGAATTTCAGAAGAGAAATGAAAACTATTTTTTAAAAGAATCGAATTATAAGCTTAGATTGGGAAATGTGATAACTGAAATGAAAAACTCTCAGCTGAGGAGATAATTAGTGGATTTTTTAAAAGGTAAGAAAAAAATATGTCAAACTGAAGCACAGAGAGAAAGAAAAAGATGGGAAAACAAGAGAATAGGATATAACCAGCATATGGACACAGAAATTTTTTCGTGTTTAATTGGAGTTTCAGAGGAGAACAGAGAGAGAACTGATCAGAAGTAATATTTTAAGAGATAATAACCAAGACTTTCCCAAAATTTAAGATATCAAGACACTGATTCAAGAAGTGCTGGAAAACCAAAGCGGGAAACTCGTGATGGAAAACACACCTCAGTAAGTCAGAGTGAGATGCTGTGGGGAGAAAAAAGAAAAATTTTAAATACAGACAGAAGAAAATATAAATATCTCACATTCTCAGTAGAAAATAAAATACAGCCTCAAAACAACTAAAGCCTCAACTGACAGAATTAAATAGAAATAGACAAATCCACAATCAAAATAGGAAATAAAAACACACACTTCTAATAACTGATAGAACAGGCACACAAAAATCAGCAAGGATACAGAGGAGATGCACCCTCCAACCTAGAACCGCTACACGCAGGATGCAAAGCTGCCCATGTGGGAGCATTAACAAATTTCAAACAAATGAAATCATACTGACTGTACATTCTCTGACCACTGCGACCTAAAGCTAGAAGTCAGTAACACAAAGATAAATGGAAAATCCCAAATATTTCTAAATTAAGCTATAAACTTTCAAATAATTCGAGAATCAAAAGAATTACACTTCACTGAATGATAATGAAAACAGAACATATGAAAACCTGTGAGATGCAGTTAAGGCAATGCTCAGAGGGAAAAGAAGGGTCATGAATACATACAAGTATAAACTTAAATACATGAGAAAGAAGAAAAGGTAGAAATCAATCATCTAAGTATCTATCTCAAGAACTTACCAAAAAAGAGCAGGGGGAGGTGACAAACCAAAGAAAGTAAAAGGCAAGGACCAATAAAGAAAAAAGCAGAAATCAATGAAATAGAAAGCAAACATAAAAAAGAAACAACAAAGCCAAATATTCATTTTTTTTGAAAAGACTAATAAAATTGATAATTCTCTGACCAAAAAAGGGAAGAGAGAGACAGAAAACACAAATTAAAGTTATCAAGAATGAAACATGGAATGTTTTTCACATATCCTTCAGATATAAAAGTGAATTTACTGAGTAAAATTACTCAGGAAATTTTCCTCTCACTCACCCTTTTCCTTGATAATTCTGAATATGAAGCAAGAAAACATGGTAATAAAGCAAAAATGGGAGGATGGAGAAGGTAGGAAATGTAGCCTCCAGTGTGGGAGAAGAGACGGACACAGAGGTAGGCTGGCCCAGTGGGAGGGGAGGGGGGGCCTGGCTGGGTGTCTGCATGAACAAAAGGACCCCAAGTCAAGGGGACATGTTGGCAAACTGGGGGTAGGGGCGGGCAAATGGACAGCAAATGTTACACCTGAGAACAAGGTAATACGAACCTCTGGGGAAGGGGAACCCTGGGAAAAGGAAATTTCATTCTATGTACCACGTGGCTCTGCATTGGGCGACATTTATCCAGTCCCAACGCTTCACGACGTAACTAAAATGGACATGTAACCATCATGGGGCGGGGAAAATGACCTGGGGAAATCAATGATTATTCCTAAAATGAATAGATCGAGAAACACTAGTATAAGCACAGTGTTTAAAGATGTAGCAACCAATCCAGAAGAAACAGTTACACAAGTTTAAAGCAGTTCACGCTAGGGACCCTCAGTAACAGAGCCAATTTCTATGAACAGGTTACAAAATGATATGGACAGTATGACCATTTTTACAAAAATACATGCACCTAAGTTCATATAAGCCATATAATTACTTCTGAAAAATTACTCCAAGGCTTCTACAATGACTCTCTCTGAGGATGAGATTACGGGTAGATTGTTTTTCTGGTTTATTTGTATTTTCCATCGCTTCCACAACAGACAATTACTTCTGTAATAAACAAAAAGTTATTTTTTAAAAGTTAGATAATCAAGAAAAACAAAAGCATGATTGGGTGAACATTCCCAGGAACCGCATTAATGTACCTTCAAGTAGTCATTCTGCCCCAGTCTACAGCGACTAGGAATAGGCAATTTCAGAAGGATGCCCAGAGTAAGGTGAGTTAACTCTTTAACCAGGGAGTTACAAAAGGAGATGTGCATCTAGAGGGTGCTCTAGACGTGCATCTAGAGCACACCTGCACCATGGACAGGCAGGCCTGTGTTCACACCTGGCCTGTTCCCAGAGGGCTGTGCAGAATCACATGGAAGATGACCATCATTCTCCACCTCAACAAGAGGGGCTTCACCTTGGATGGGGCAGTGAGAAGGGAGGAATCACACCTCACAGGTCTCAAAATTCCATCTGAACCCCACACTCGGGGTTCAGACACATCTGTAGGAAAAGCTCAGTGTCTGAATTTCTGTTACTGCTTTTCCCACGAACTTGATAATAGAAGTTTACATGAGGGAAAACCTGTTCAAAGGTGGTGTGCATTCTCAGCAAGGAGCTGGAGGATCCCTGGGCTCTCTGGCCCCAAGGTGACATGCCTGCGGGGCTGCAGGAGCAGAGTAATAAGAGCTTCTGTGGCAGGACAGGAAACCTCTGGTCCTCACCCCACAGCTCAGGATGCAGCCACTGCTGTAATGAGCTTTCCAGAACTATTGCGTTTGTAAGTGTGCTTTAACTACGTGAAAACACCATTCAAGGCAGTAACATACATTTATTTATTTATTTATTTATTTATTTATTTATTTTTGCGGTACGTGGGCCTCTCATCGCTGCAGCCTCTCCCGTTGTGGAGCACAGGTTCCAGACGTGCAGGCCCAGCGGCCATGGCTCACAGGCCCAGCCGCTCCACGGCCTGTGGGATCTTCCCGGACTGGGGCACGAACCCCTGTCCCATGCATCGGCAGGTGGACTCTCAACCACTGCACCACCAGGGAAGCCCAGTAACATTTATTTTTAAATACTATTAAACTTTCTAAAGTAGTAAATTCACCAAAAAAATTTTTTTTCATAAAGGGAAGTATTGTGCCTAATATATCACCTTGCCCTCCACTAACCCTTGTGCTCCAAGCAGATGCCAGCCCTTGCTCTGGGTGTGGGCACAGTGGCAGGTGCCGTGGGCCTCAGATGGCCTGACACCCTTCCTTCCCTCCCGGAGCTCTTTCTTTCTTCCATTCTGCCATCCCGCTGGCCTAGCCCCCTGGAAACATCACTGGGATGTGCCTGTCAAACCACCGCACGGGGGCTGGGGGTCTCCAGATTCTCGCTCAGAGCCTGACTCTCCTGCGTGTACAGAAAATGGTTGTTGAACATCTAAATGAAGTCACCAATTAATAAACTACAGACATGCGATAAACGTTTGCTGACTGATGAATTTTTTAATCTAAGTTTCAGATCTTCAAATCAATTAACTGCTTTCAATTGACTATTAACTCAATGATAGCAATTTCTTTTATAAAATTGTATAATAAGGCCTTCCCTGGTGGCGCAGTGGTTGAGAGTCCGCCTGCCGATGCAGGGGACGAGAGTTCGGGCCCCGGTCTGGGAAGATCCCACATGCCGCGGAGCGGCTGGGCCTGTGAGCCATGGCCGCTGAGCCTGCATGTCCGGAGCCTGTGCTCCACAACGGGAGAGGCCACAACAGTGAGAGGCCCGCGTACCGCAAAAAAAAAAAAAAGATTGTGTAATAACTCACGATTCCTGTATTTAAATCAGAAGCCTTCCTTTTTAACTAAATTCCTTACTGTTCAAGCCCTGAGTCAGCAAATCAGAAAACTTTTCAGTTATGAACAAAAAAAAAAAAAAAAAAATTGTGTAATAACTCACGATTCCTGTATTTAAATCAGAAGCCTTCCTTTTTAACTAAATTCCTTACTGTTCAAGCCCTGAGTCAGCAAATCAGAAAACTTTTCAGTTATGAACAAACTTGGGAGTATATTTAACTCAGGCTCTGCATCTCAAAGACAAGAAACCAGAAACTGGGGGAGGAAGCAGTGACTCATCAGTGTCACCCAGAAATTTCATGGCCTGATGATGGATCCACCACAACGCCCGCCGCACTTACCGAGTGTCTGGAGCTTTTCCGTCCATTTGTCTACATCAATGTGCAGCTGGCTTTCTACAAAGGCTTCTTATAAATTTGTTCTTCAGGGCTTCCTAAAGGAAAATAATATAGTTTAACAAGACTAATCTCACCATTCCTCTTGTTGAATAATACTTGTTAGGTTTATTCCAAGTTTCATGATACAGGGAAAAGGCACAAAAAGTGCAAAGAGGTTCTAAAACATCCCAGTAAATAGGATTACATTTGCTTAGGACTTTATTTTGAAAAACAAAAGTAAACAATTGGGGATATAATTGTATGAATAAATATGCACTAATATTGAAAACAAAGAATGAATTAAGTGTTGATTTTTTGGTAAAACTTTCTAATAGAACTATATGGTGACCCTTTACATAAATTCTTTATATTGCCTTTTCTGTGGGCTGGTTATAAAGAGGGGGTCACTGTTACAAGAACACTGATGAAAGGTTCAGCATTTTCCCACACCCTCTCTTATACGTGCAATATTCAAAGCCTTATCTTTGGAAGCATGTTTCGTATCATCATCTATATCTTTCTTCTTTCACTATTGATGGCTCAACTCCACCTCATTTGTCAAAGGCTGCACTGTGGAAGGTTCTCCAAGATTACTTCCATCAGCTTGATGGCACCTTGCATACTAATTCTGCAGCTGGCACGCATACACCCGCACTGTGCTGCCACGTACCTACAACAAGCAACAATCTACTGAGGGTGGAAACACAGATGCAGTGGGGCCAATGCCAGGATTAAGCAAAAGGGGGATCTCTTTTTCTTTTAATTTTTATTGGAGTATAGCTGCTTTACAATGTTGTGTTAGTTTCTGCTGGTCAGCAAAGTGAATCAGCTCTACATATATATATATATCCATTACATATATATGGATATATATATATATCCATTCTTTTTTGGATTTCCTTCCCTTTAGGTCACCAAAGAGCACTGAGTAGAGTTCTCTGTGCTGTACAGTAGGTTCTCACTAGTTATGTACCTTATACATAGTATCAATATTGTATATAGGTCAATCCCAACCTCCCAACTCATCCCAACCTCCCCCTTCCCCCTTGGTATCCATACGTTTGTTCCCTATGTCTGTGTCTCTATTTCTCCTTTGTAAAAATGATCATCTATACCAATTTTGTTTTCAGATTCCACGTATATGTGTTAATATACGGCATTTGTTTTTCTCTTTCTGTCTTACTTCACTCCATATGACAGACTCTAGGTCCATCCACATCTCTGCAAATGATACAACTTTGTTCCTTTTTATGGCTGAGTAATATTCCATCATATATATGTACCATATCTTCTTTATCCATTCATCTGCTGATGGACATTTAGGTTGCTTCCATGTCCTGGCTGTTGTAAATAGTGTTGCAATGAACACTAGGGTACATGTGTCCTTTTGAATTATCTTCTCAGGGTATATGCCCAGGAGTGGGATTGCTGGGTCATATTGTAGCTCTCCTTTTAGCTTTTTAAGGAACCTCCATACTGTTCTCCATAGTGGCTGCACCAATTTACATTCCCACCAACAGTGCAAGAGGGTTCCCTTTTCTCCACACCCTCTCCAGCATTAATTGTTTGTAGATTTTCTGACGATGGCCATTCTGACTGGTGAGAGGTGATACCTCATTGTAGTTTTGATTTGCATTTCTCTAATAATTAGTGATGCTGAACATCTTTTCATGTGTTTGTTGGCCATCTACAGTCTTCTTTGGAGAAATGCCTATTTAGGTCTTCCGTCCAGTTTTTGATTGGGTTGTTTGTTTTTCTGATACTGAGCTGCATGAGCTGTTTGTATATTTTGGAGATTAATCCTTTGTCAGTTGCTTCATTTGCAAATATTTTCTCCCATTCTGAGGGTCGTCTTTTCCTCTTGTTTATGGTTTCCTTTGCTGTGCAAAAGCTTTTAAGTTTCACTAGGTCCCATTTGTTTATTTTTGTTTTCATTCTCATTACTCTAGGAGGTGGGTCAAAAAAGATCTTGCTGTGATTTATGTCAAAATGTGTTCTTCCCATGTTTTCCTCTGTGCATTTTATAGTGTCTGGCCTTACATTTAGGGCTTTAATCCATTTTGAGTTTATTTTTGTGTATGGTGTTAGGAATTGTTCTAATTTCATTCTTTTACATGTAGCTGTCCAGTTTTCCCAGCCAACAGTTGTTTTACCAAACAACTGTATAACGTGGGGACTTCTGATGAGGAATTTTCAATAACACCCACCTTCTGCATTTAGGTCTTTTATTTCTCATATCTCCCTGATACCTGATGATTTTATTGACTCTCGTCTATAGACGACAAGATTTCATGATGAAATCTCAGTGTCTGATTTTTTTAAGTCTTATTTATCTTCTTTCACTGGGCACTAGCTACTTGCCCAACATTATGTGATGCACTTCATATGCATTAGTCATTTAATCTCAGCAACATCTCCATGGAAAGATGCTTTTAACCGAAGGAAAAAGTAAGTCAGGGTCGCCGACATCAGTGAAATACTAATCTAGCCCTCTGCGGGGCAGAGCCACACCTAGAGTCCAGGCATCAGTTACTGCAAATCCAAGGGCACTTACAGATACTCTTGAACGTGATCTCGATGCTAAGAAATAGAGCCACTCACCACAATTCATTCTCTAAGTAAAAAGTTCTTCAAGTGATTGAATAAGTGGCTTTAATTTCTAACTTGACTACTTGGTAAACAGTGCTCAGCTAAACTGAAGACTTCTCCAAGAAACCACCTGCTTCTTTTTTTATCGAAGTATCAATGTTTGATTTACAATGTTGTGTTAGTTTCAAGTGTACAGCAAAGTGATTCGTATATATGTATTCGTTTTCAGACTCTTTTCCATTATAGGTTATTACAAGATATGGAGTATAGTTCCTCGTTCTATGCAGTAGATCCTTGTTGGTTATCTGTTAGATGTATATCAGTATATGCATCTGATAATCCCAAACTCCTAATTTAACCTTCTTCCCACAAACCACCTGATTCTTGAGATGGAGTTAGGCACTGTTACGTTCTCACACTACTTTGTAGAGACTCAACCTGCTGCTTATTATACTGCATATAATTATCTGTAGTTACAGCAGACCCCTTTTCAAAGCCTGTACTATCTACCATCTGATTCATTACAGAAAACGCCTACTGATCCCTGTATCAGCAAAGTAACTGGTGAGCAAACAAATTAAAGAATAACAACAATAATAGCCATGGCCACCATGAGAATGAGCATCCCAGACTCCCAGCTCCAGGAACGGCAACATCCAAGGCCCTCCGCTGTGCTCTGAAATCCACCTCAGTTTGCCCGGAGGCCACACCTCCCAGGCTGCTCTTAGCCATGACCAGGCCGAGGCCACTCCTAGGAGCCACGGCTCCCCTGACACAGGATCCCCCACGATACCTGACTTCAGCTGGATGAGAGGTGTCCTCTAAATGCAGGGCCCTGTGGGATGTTTCCACCCAGCCCCCACTCCACCCCCATCCCTTCAGGACCAGACCTCCCCGGCCTCCCCGGCTTCCCCAGCCTCGGCTCCCACAGCTC